AGGTTGTTGGCGATTCTTCTTAACTTTCCAGATTCTCTCCATGGTATTTGTTGAAGATTCAAATGACAGTGTTGATTATTCAAGGGGGAGTTTTTATTTGGAAGATGATATTTATTTCTCTCACTTTGAAGACCCACTGTACTGATGAGTCTCACAATTTAGGGGGAGAAATGCCAAGAAGATTGGAAATCGTGATCTTCATTATTTTCAACATCTTGGGGGAGATTTTTGAGTATTTGAGATATTGAAATCGATTTGACATTTTTGGTTATCTAGGGAAGCCTTTTTAGGGTTTTATATTTTTGGCAAATGTTTTATATTCCCTATAAATAATCATTGGGTTAGATTTTGATGTAATTTTTTTCCTGAAAAGGGTTTTTCTTGTACGTTCATATCCATATCAATATACACAAAACCTTTGACATATTACTTGCATATTATGGTGATTGTTTCATGATTGTTCTTCAGATTCCGCATTCGTCATCTCGTCTTTATTCTCAACAATAACTTATGCACATGTCTTCATTCATTAAGATCTGAGCTCAATTTCTTGTATCTAACACTTCACCAAATTAGGGTTCTTAAACATCATCTGTAAATCCAATCAATTATACATAGATTAGACATATAAAGCTTGAAATCATGTTTATAATCCTCACTACGCCATTATACTAAGAATTCATGCTGTAAATATTAAGTTTCTAACATTTCCTCCAAATTCCACCATGGAAGTTCAAACAAGCTTGATAAAAGGAAGAATATGATACATTGGTTCATGTTGTAATCTTTAATTATTGTTTCTCCTTGACACTCCTTTGAGTTTGGCCTTAACGTCATGTTTGAAGCACTCCGTAATTGTCGTCTAGAGCTCTAAAAAAAGTGAGGAAGTGAAATGAGTAGTATTAGACTGACTAGAGTATTTTATCCTAGGTTTCTTAGAAATCGGCCATGGGACAAAGCATGGTACAACTTCCTTTCACAACATTTAAGTGATATACCATTTTCGAGTTGTCATGATTTCTTCGTCCGAACTCCAAATGAGTTCATTCATTTTTCTAATGCTTCTTTTTTGTCAATATTTCATACAATGGTCAATAAACCTTTATTCTATGCATTAGAATCGGACTTTCCATGGTAACACTCAAGAATCTTATTATATAAGTTGAATACAAGTGTGTGTGTACACACACACACACACACACACACATATATATATATATATATATGTTTTAAATTTTTGTTCCCAATACCATTATATGTATTGGGCTATACATAAACAATATTGTATTATGTAACTCATACATTATGGTTCGTTTATAATTTTATTTCAACTTCATCATATTTTGCACACTACTACAACTTACTTTGTTTCTTTTGTCAAATATAGCAACTTACTTTGCTACTCCTTTACATTCATACCGATGTAACAAACTTTTCGCACCAATTCACTTATAGTAAATATTGTAACAGATATCAATATAGTTTAAACCATAATATTACGTATAATGCATACCCTACACCAGTTCTCACTTTTTGTCCCACTTTGAGCAACTATAAGCACATACATTTTCCTTTTCATCGTTTTTTTTTTTTTTTTTGTATAAGTATGTTGTAAACATAAATATTTCATAATTAGTTATACTCTGACTTGTCTAAACACAAATAACACTTTACATCGCATTAACTCATTTCTGGTAAAACCATGGTTTTGTCCTTATTTTACACATCATAGGTGCCTTGGTCTTCCAATTAGCACAAACACTTGTCATCTATTACATTAACATATCTTAACATCCTAAGCTAAAATTTTAGGATGTTACAATGACACTGAAAATGGAGCCCCAGTCCACAGAACCACCTACTAAACAGAACATTCATTACTTTGCTTACAACATTCCAGGATTATGAACCACTTGAGCCTTTGGAAGTCATTCCACTATTGTGTGTTTCTCCGATAAGATTAGAAGAACAAGAAGAAGAAGAGTGATTGAATCTTAACATTTAGGTTAGGTTATACCTAATTGTGGGCCAACGTAAATTACATTTGGAAACCACATACCCATTTTTCCAAGTCAACAAACGAGAAACCATGTGACTTGAAGCAAACTAATTAAGTGCTCGTGCTTGCAAAAAATTGAAAAGATGATGACTTAATTGAAACAAAAAATGCGATATATATATATATATATATATATATATATATATATATATATATATATATATATATATATATATATATATAACTTTGTGCAATTTGTCATTTCTTAACTTCACATGCATGGTGCATATGGCGTATTGGTTACATACCCTAATTGACATTCAATAAATCTTTGCACTATGAGATGTATTTGTAGCACATTACCCATATGCATGGTACATTTATGTTACATTATTATGTGTTTTAGATGTTTATACTTATAGTGTAATATTTGGGGTTTATCATTTATGTAACATTTTCAAGAAAAGGGTTTTTATTTTATATAATACATATTTGTACAATTATATTATGATTGTCTAACCAATTTGTTATTTCATCAAACTTTCTAGTTGTACTTATTATTTTGGCGCGTCTCATGTGGTGGATCTTAGAGCATGCTAAGTAGAGGTGTTGGGGAGATTTGAAATTGCTTTGAGATTAGACACTTTAGTCTTCATTATGCCTACTATTTTATTTTATGTTTTTTACTTATAGTTTCACACGAGAGTTGGGTTGTATTTAACATGCTACAATTAGCTGATAAGCTAGTTTATTTTTCGATATTTTTAAAGTTGTCATGTTTAACAAGCAAAAAAGTAACTTATTAGCTAGCTTATAAGTTATCTTTTTAAAAATCTACTTAGACTATTTTTTAGGAGCTTTTTAAATTTTTTCCAAATATACCCCTTAGTTAATAATAAAAACACATTGTTTTAAATGTCCTTTTATGTCATTTTATATATTTCTATTAGTTTTTCCAAATGTTATTTTTTATCAGGTAGCAAGTAGTTTTTTGTTTAATAGCTAGTTTTTTAGCTATCAGCTAGCTTTTCCGCTAATAGATAGCTTAAATAGTATGTCAAACATAGCATTGATATCTCATTGAGTTTTAAATAACATCTATTATTGAGAAGTTTCAAAAATCTCGGAATTTTCCGTTATACAGTTTGAATATCTGTTGAATATAAAACATACATGTTTTTTAAAAACCAAATTTGAAGACGTCAATGAATGCTATAATTTTAATCATCCAGCTTAGCAACAATAGTTGTGATGATCATCCGATAACAATAAGGTTCGAATACATCCAACTGAGTATCATACTAATAAGAAAGAAGTATAACCGACAAAAACATCAAATTAACATGTATTTTCAGTTTTTTGGGACTTACGCCAAAAAAAATCCGTATCTTTTATGAAAATATAGGTAAAACCTATGGAATTTTATACCAAATTCATATTATTTAACCATGTTAACTTTTGACCTACATACATGCTAGATCCATAATTATGATATGTTGAGGTGTTGCGAGGTATGATATAATAATGATATCAGACATATAAATTGGATTATATAAAAAAAATACACTCTACACTAAATTTACCTTGGTTATACGTACAACATTCATACTTTTATTTATATAACAATTTGTAAAAAAGATCTACATGTAAAAGAATACAGTTAACATTTTACAACCAAATATGAAGATATATGATGGCCTGGGCTTGTTTCTACATTTAATTCGGATTGGTCCAGACTTCAGAGTCCAGAGTATTGTCCTTTGATTTGTTTGGGGCTGTAATAATTGAAAACCAGATTGATATGTATCGGGCTCTTCTAAACTAATTTAGATCGGATGAACTGGGCTTGTTTACCTTGTAAAATTAGTTGATTTTTTTACTTCCATTTTTCTCATCGTATCTATCTAATTTTAGTTTTTCAATTAAAAAAAATGATGAAAACGCAATAAATAAACGCCATCCGTGGGACTCGAACCCACGACCACGTGGTTAAAAGCCACGCGCTCTACCAACTGAGCTAGAACGGCAATACATTTTCACTTACTGAAACATCATATATTTACTGATACTATTGATATATATTTTTATTTTCAGTTCATTTATTTTATAGCATGACTTTCACAACCCTCGTAATTAAATTAAAAATCACATAAAGTAAATGATTAAAGTATCTCTATGCATTTTACAAAAACTCGGTCAAGCTAATCTAAATGTGAAAAAATCGACGACCAAATAAGCAATTGACAATTTTACAATGTAAGTACTATAATTAAGTACCCGATTATTTCATTACATTTGGATCCTCTAAAGAGTCATGGATGTTGTTACAACACTTTCTTGCAATCAGTACTCTTCCAGTCTTAATCATCTTGATCACTTAAGTCTCAACTTTGCAGATTATTATTTAGAAAAATCGACCCCCAAATGGCATGCTTTTATCTTTTATTATCGTTTGTGTGAACAATAGAAGGAAAATTATACGTGACTGTCTTTATTCAATGCATATATGCTGTAAGGTACACTGTCTTTCTCGCAAAAAATAAATAAATAAATAGAAATCTCCGTGGTATGGTAGGTCCTAAAAGTGCAAACTGTGATCCTGACCATAATGAAGAAATTCCATTTCCATTTCATTTACATTTGTTTTCAAGTAAATTACTGTATTGTGCTTGAGTTGTGCATTTATATAAGGTTTATAGAAATTTGGTAATCATTATTTTCGAAGATGATCTTTATTTTCCCAAGTTTGTTCTATTCGATTTTTATGTTGTTTTCCCTTAGTACAAAGATAAACGAACCACAGAATGACAAGAGGATGCGTAATCCCCATTCCATTGATAAGGTATTTTATCATCTCCTGTTGTCTTTACCAATTATTTTTGACAACCAGTTCACGTGTAGAACAGTAGTACCCTTTTTAACTTTATATACACTCTCTTATAGTTATAGCTCCACACACACACACACACACTGCACAAAGAAACCACACCCACAGAAAAAAATGCAACCTTTCACATGTTTCATGGCATCCCTTTTAGTTTTAGCCACCGTCTCCGCGACTCCAAGACTCAGATTAGAAACCGATTCCGACACCGATTTCATCAAGGCGTCATGTGAAGCCACAAGGTACGCCGACTTGTGCTTCAAAACCCTGTCCCCGTTTGCGACCACTGTCCAATCGAGCCAAATGCAACTGGCGAATCTGGCGCTGAGTGTGAGCTTGAAGAGTGCTAAATCGACGTCGAAAGCCGTGAAGGAGCTGTTGAAAGGGCGGGATGTGAGTATGCAGGACGGGATGGCGGTGGAGGACTGTTTGGAGAATATGAGTGATTCGGTGGATGAGATGCGGAAATCGGTGGCGGAAATGAAGGGATTGGATGGGCCGGATTTTGAAGAGAAAATGGGGAACGTGAAGACGTGGGTAAGTGCTGCGTTGACAGATGAAAATACATGTATGGATGGATTTGAAGAAAATGTTGGGAAGATGAAGGAGACGATTAGAGGGTATATAGTAAATGTTGCAGAGTTAACAAGCAATGCTTTGGCTCTCATTAGTAATATTTCTTAGATCTTTATTGTAAAAGAAGAGAGTGGCACTGCTTTGTTGTAAAATATTTATTTTATTTATTAGGTTATAGTGAACTCTTTGTCAATTAAGCAGGATGACTGGGTGTGGTTTTACTTGAGTGAAAAAAAAAAAAAAAAAAAAATTGTTTTAAAGAGTGTTGAATGTTGATGTTATCAATAACAAAGGGGTTATTAGCCTTTATGGTATTGGGTCCTACCATCTCTAGAATTGATGTTGTCAGGTACTGTTTGGTACTTTTTGGTGGTAAAGTTTAAAATCATCTTAATACAGTATTAGTTTTGCAACAGTTGTGTAACATGTTTAAGTAAGCTACAATCTAAATATTTCAGTGAAAAGACCATATTGTATTGTAATGTAACAATCTGTCTCACAATCACATGTTCAAATAACAAATAAACAAGAATAAACACAAGTAAGAATCTAGATTAGTATTGTGATCTAATACAATATAAAACATATAGAACTTAGATGAGTATTGTGATCTAATACAATATAAAAGATACACAACACATATTAGAATATAAGACAAGTTTAATCACGAACTCGACAAAATGCAAAGGTCAAAGGGGCTGCGCCATGTTGCAGGGTAAAGGGGTAGAGCCTTGTCGTTGGTTCGTTCATATTAGTAGAAAAAATAATGGAAAACCATGTTTTGGAACATATCAGTAGAGAACGTGATAAATTTACTAAGGTTGATACCACAACCAAGTTGATTTCACAACAAAGTTGATTCCTTGCACTTATGATTTTGAAAATCCAATAAAACAAAGTTCCAAAAACTGATCTTTATCATAATACACATTGTGTAATTTAAAGAAACAATCTTCGGACTCTTAGTTCGTTTGGTTTTCTATTTCTGCATAAAACTTGAAAGTAATTTAATTGATTGTCTTTGATTTAATTTCATAACTCAGGTATAAAGTATTGAAATATTAATACGAAAAAAGACTTTATATAATCGGTCAAAAATCCATATTCAAATAAACATCAAAACTCCATATTCAAATTAACATATGCATTTTTAGGGAAAATACCAGTAATAGTAAAAAAATAGGGGGCATTTTCAAAATAGTCACAAAAAATTGGATTTCCGGGTATAGATATGGATTCTGCATAGCTCCGCGGAATCTACTATAGCTCCCCAGAATGGCAAAATCGTAAATAAATCATTAAATTTAAAAAAAAATAATAAATAAATAATAATAATAATAATAATAATAATAATAATAAACTAAAAATCCATTTCGCAGAGCTACCTCCGAAGAATAAACTCATTCTGCGGAGGTAGCTCCGAGGAATGGATCTTCAGATCTTTTTTTCCACATCGATTCTTCGGGGTTTATATTCATTCTCCAACTAATTATTTTCAAGAAAAGATTATCATACTATCATATTTTGTCATTCCGCAGAGCTACAGTAGATTCCACTGAGTTACCTCCGCAGAATCCATATCTATACCTAAAATTGTCCATTTTCATATAAATTTTGAAAATACCAATAGACTATTGCCGGTATTTAAGAGCATTTTTATTACTTCCAACATAGTCCTTTTAACTCCTTATCAAAACAAAGTTATAAAACTGAAGTACTGAACTAATTGTTTGGAAGATGGGCTTCAAAACAAGTACAACTCATAACAATCGATCCCACAAACCCAATAGTAAATGGGGACCAATTCTGATATAATACTTATATTTTGTATGGAGAGATAATCGATATATGTAATATTTATATTTTGTATGGATAATTAAACAAATGTAGAGAAGTATAAACGAAAAACACAATTTATCGGTATATATAGGTTCAGGTTCATTTAAAATAATTTTAATTTTGTGAGACCGTAAAACCAAATCTAAAAATAATTTTAAAATGGAATATTACACTGTATCGAATTCTAAAAAAATTATTTTGAATAACAAAAATAAATAAAAAAATCCAGTTTTTTTATTAAAAATACGTGAAATATTCTAATAGAATATCACACTGTACGAATTCTAAAAAAATAATTTTAAAATGCAAAATAAATGGAAAAATCTAAAAAAAAAATTAAATATTATTTTTGGAACTTGAAATAATTAAAAAAAAATAAAAAAAAAATCCCATTTTTTTTTAAATACGTGAAATAATCTAATAGAATATTATACTGTACATATTTTTAAAAATAATTTTAAAATGCAAAATAAATGGAAAAATCCAAAAAAAAAATTAATATTATTTTCGGAACTTGAATTAACTAAAAAAAATTAAAATAAAATAAAATAAAATAAAAAAATGTGTCTCACGGTCTCACAAAATTAGGTCGTCTCACACGAACCTAACCTTATATATATATATATATATATATATATATATATATATATATATATATATATATATATATATATATATATATATATATATATATAACCAATGATTCCCGAATGGTCGTTTCATAACGTATTATTTTTCGGGTGGTCAGACCCATCTCATTAGATCCGAAATGCTTATTCCAGAGCAGCCGTATATGTTCTGGATCGGGATTTTGAAATTCAAAATCTGGAATATAATTTGAGACGACAACTTCATTTCGGAAAGACGCATTCGGATTCCGACGTTCTGACGTGCAACACCCATCTCCGACACGCATCGACACCTATCTCCGACATTGAAGACAAGCACTACGACCCCGTTATTTTACGGGTATGCTCTTCGTTCTATTTGTTTGTTTAAGGTTCCTATTTTTCTACTGTTACTTAGGTGTTGTTTGTTTTTCTATAAAAACCTCTTCAACCCACTTATTGTTGCGTGGCGCAGCACACACGCAGCACTTTCCCTCTCGCAGCAGTTTGTTTTTTGAAAGACTTCAGACTACAAAACCTCTGCGCGTGTGCTGCGTGGCGCAACACTTGACTTGTCTCTTCTAACCTCTTCAGCTTTCATTTTTTCTAAGTGTTTTTTTAAGAATTTTTGTATAACTTTTTTTTTTAATTTCTTTTTTTTTTAAACTTTGATTTTCTTAAATTTTTATTTACGGATGTGATACAATTTATTTTTATAATTTCCACAATTTTTTTAATTTGTTTTTTTTTTTAATTTTTTTACCGTCTTATTAATAATATTTTCAATTTCAGTTACATTTTTTTTAACGTGTGTAATTTTTTACGAACTTTGTAGACAACATTTGCAATATTTTCTTAAATTTTTTATTATTTTCTTTTTTAATGCTTTTTTTAAATTAGTTTTTTTTTTCTAGAATAAAACTATTAGCTTCTTTTATATTTTTTTATGTTTTTTTTTAAAAAAAGTTTTATATTTTTGTTTTTTACATGTTATTGTTATTATTATTTCAATGTTTTAAGACTAGAATTATTAAATTTCAATGTTGAGAATTATTTCAGTTTATAAAATTAGTTTATTTAAATTTTAGTTTACCGCAGCAGTCTGCAGATGTTAAAAACCAAACATGCTTCTTATTATAGGCTGCAGCCGTTTGTTCCACCTCTTCTGCTACAGAGGATTGCAGAGGTGGTTTGCAGACTTCATGAATTTTCGTTTCGAAAAAACAAACAGCACATTACTATTGTGGATGTAGTAGACCACCTCCGGAATGAATTGAAAGCATTCCGGAGTTTAAATTAAAGATGTCATTGTTATAGGACCAACTGAAAAGTAGTTTAAATGTTTAGTTATTGTTGATTTACATAGAAATTTCGTGTTCCGTATCTTAAAATTTCCTTCCGGAAGCCTCCGAAACGCGAAAAACCATTCCGGAACACGATAAACTTGTTTGAAACATGAAGAACAGGTCAGGAACTGATCCAGAATATTGGTCATTTCCATTTTATAATGAAGTGCTAACACCTTTTTATTTGTGCAGCACGACATAATTGTTGATGTGTCAATTACACTCTCGTGTAAGCCCAAAATCGACGGGGAAATTCTTACGGCATTTAGAAACAGACCCGAATGTGAGACTATGTTCTGAAATACATGTTTGGGGAGGTGGTTAGATATTCCTAATGTAGATGAGTATCCTTTACTTCTACATTACCTCGTTTGCCATAAAGTTTTCACCAACCCCCGAGGCCAAGTAGAGGAAATGGTTTTTGAGATTGGAGGTTACGAGTTGTCTTTCGGGAAGAAAGAATTTTGTCTCACCACCGCCTTCCGGTTTAGTGACTATTTTCCTGCTTCTGCATCCGGTGCCACCTTCCATTCTCGTGCCTTTCCTATGGTCCCGAAGAATTTCTCGGTCAAATTATAGCATGTTACGGATGTGTTTAAATATCCACTTAATGAGTTACCAAACGAGGATGTATTCCGTGTATGTCTTCTATACCTGTTAGAGAAGGGTTTCAATGGGCGTTTGGCTAAACAGTCTATTACAGAAGAGTATTTCGTTTTGCTATCCAACCTTGATGAATTCAATAGGTATAATGTCATCTATTTTATAATTATTGATTAATTAAATTATATATCATTACTAATATTTTTAGAAATTTAAGTGTTAACCAATTTTTTATGTGGCAGATATCTATGGGGAGGATAGTTTGGGATCAATTGTACAAACAACTATATATTGTATTCAATAAGGTTGAGAAGCTTATACATCCAGAAGAACTAAAAGAGAATGGACTTCACTACACCCTATAAGGATTTTTATATGCTTTTAAGGTCTATTCTTTAATGCCTCAACATTTTGTTCTCATCCATACCCAACAGCCCCATCTCATACCATACTCTAAAGGTAACAACAACCCATTACTATTACCGAGTATACTCATCTGGTCTGACTGTAACATTCGAGATTATTGGTATGTTCCTTTTTAACCCTTAATGTAAATTTCTCTCATTTTAGTCCCTAGCTCAGTACACGGGTCGTACTCTATAAGTATGTTAAGCGTACTGGCTCGTTGGTTGGATCCGTGAATGCACCCACGTACGTTGGGCATACGTGGGAGTATGCAGGGCATACGTAATGCAAGGATAAACCCTAATTT